GGCTATATAAATAAAGATTACTTACTTATAATATTGGTCTAATTATCAGCCATATACAGTATAATAAGATGATCCATCCTGATATGTCTGCTTTAATAGCATGCTTTAGTTGTTAGTGAGGGAAATACAAACAGCGTGAGTTACATGTGATGCGTGGAATGCCTTTAGAAACATAAACTGAAGGAAGGTTTGATGAGAACACCACAGAACATGCTCTGTCTCCCTCTGTGTAGGAGTGACTCTACCTGAGCCCCAATCTGAAGCCTCTGCTCAGACAGCACGATGCAGTAATGACAAAAAACAGGGTTCCAGTCCAGTCCAGTTCAACGTTAACCTCTACAACACGAGTGTTCGACTCGCTCCTCAAAAAGGTTTTTCAGTCCAACGACCAAGCAGAAGCACACCAGACTCTACACATTTCCACAGGTCTTCATATTAAGACAGTTCACTTGAGGAAATGGGTGGAGTCTGACGTGCTCCGGCTTGGTTGGAATGAAAACCTGCATCCACCCGTCAGTTTGAGGAGCGAGTTGAACGGCCCTGGATTACAGAATCACATTAGGACGAAGCACGATTGTCCTGGTGGGCGGGACTCACGTCATGTTGCTTCTCTGCGTTGGGGTAGGTGTCCACAAAAATGCCCAGCCCCGTGAATTTATTGATGTTCCCAAACACAGGACCTAGAAAGAGGAAGAGACATGAGGTTATGTTCAGGAAATACACGTTCAATACTTTGATAGAACGACCATTGGCTCATTATTACAATCAAACTATTCAACCGCTCTCTGTTTTATGGCGTGATGATGGGACCCCCTGAATCCGGCCTCTTTCATCTGCACCTGTGGACTGGTCGCCCCCAGCGCAGATTTGAGGGCTGTACCCGCCTCCCCGCCTGGGATTCTCTTCAGTCCTGCATCGCACAGCCGTTCTACATTCCATTTTCTCACTATTAGATTTTTGGTTGTTCCTTTTTGATACAGGAGGACAGTGAACAGTGGTCATCTCTCGCCCTTTGGACCAATGGCTCCTATGTGTTTGTTATTATTGCATTTCCTGCTTTCGAATAAATAGATTTTCTGATCTGTTAATGGTGAATCGACAAGTCCTCCAAGACGACTGCTGTTGTGATTTAGGGCCATACATGAATACATTTAATTGAATTGACCATAAAGTTACACAGAAATATAGCTGAGCGCCCTACGGATTTTGTTCTTGTTTTTCATTATTATTCAGGAAATGTATTCATTCCAACTATTTAAATAAAAATTATGATTCTTATTGGGATTCATTATAAAGACTTCTGTTGTCACAAAGATCTGGGGCTGTCCTCGCTACAACCTAATGCCGGGATTATAAAAAATGTAAAAATGCCATGGTTTCAAACTTTGCAATAATCAGAATGCAAAACATGCAGAAGAACTGAGTGAGTGATCGACAGCAGCGGTAAACAGGCAGCTTGGTTTTGTTAGTATTAGTTAGCAATATGGCCTACGTGCAGGACTGTACAAGGACTCTGATTATTTTGACTATGATGTGCACTGTCTCTGTGTGACACGTACGTCTTTCGATGTGTGACGTGACAATGACTATATAAATTGTGTACCGCCTTTATTCTGTCTGAGAGAAGGAAACAATGGAAACCACTGGAACTTGAGAGAAACTTAAATAAACTTCCAGAGTTTGGCGCACCACGATCCGTCTCTGTCTGCTAAACCCTGACAGATTATAATTCGTCATTGTACCGTTCTGCATTCGCTCCTTGGTCAGCCAGATTGCCAGGCCGTCACCGTTGAAATTCTTCTTTCCTTGTCCGTGAATTTTAAAATGCACTTTCAGCTCCCAGTCGCGTAGATAAAAAGGCTGAAAACACAGTATTGCTTTTTATGAGAAATCACGGGTTAAAGCAAATAGTTTGGCTGCAAGTTGGTATGTGGACATCCTTGTTGAAGAAAACTGGTCTTACAGCCAATGCATGAACACTGTAATTATCTATGTGATGGAGAGTTGAGTCTTCTGCTACAGGTTAAACCTTTGCTACAAGTCAAAATTATAGTACAAGCAACATCTCATCACCAACAGCGTACTGTGTCCACAGCCAAATTACCGTAATTTCTGCAATACAAGCCGATATTTTTTTCTATTTTTTTAACCATACGAATTATGTAGCGATGTGTGCATTTTTATTAGGGTAAAGTTGGCCTGTTGTCAGAGCAGAGTTTATGGACTTATTACTTATTACATCAGTAGCTATAGGACACTTGTTTTTTGTAGAAGAAATATGGTGAAGTCATAGAAGCTATTGTTAGTCTGTTAAAAACATCATTAAATCATGTTGTGTCTGGTTAAAACAGTAGTCCATCTGCAGCTTATCTTCAAGCGGCCTATATGTGGACAACAACGATTCTCTTCTCAAATGTATGTGGTGGAGCGTTTAGCTACATAGTCCAGAAAGTACAGTACTCCATAACCTTTTGCAGGTGGAAGAAAACTTTGCTCCATTGTCATACATAAATTAGGATAAAGTCCAGTTATAAGAAAAAGCCAAAGAAAAAACGCAAATATTAGCCTGGACAAAAACAAACAACTACAGGTCTGTTTTCGATGAGCGGGTAATTTCAAAAGAAGCAGACCCCAAGCCGCTTCCCAAGCAGACCTGTCCGCACAGAGGCCTAGACACCAGTGAATCCAGTGTATAATCCATAAAAAGACATGTTTCTAAAACCTCCTTACAAGCCTCTCCGTGGTTACTGTATTTCTGTAGAGATTTGTTTTTTTTTTACTCCTGATCTCAGTGTGATGATTGTGGGCATAGTGTTGCTGTGTGTCTCTATCACTTACCACACGGCTCCACACTGCCCCCTGTCTGCTCTGGGAGTCTGGGGTCAGGCGTATGTAGTCAGGGGTGACCACTGCTGTGCCCATAAGATCCCACTGGGAAGAGCTGGAGAAGCCCAGACCTGAAACAGACAACACAACAATGTCACTACACCCAAAAGTGTAACAACGCGGCAAAGTCCAGCCCATGATACCATTTTTAGCGGCCCCCTCATTAACATGCAGCTTTAGTGGCAATGTTTATAATATGGATACCATGGCATGATGCAGCTCATTTGAAAGATGATTCTCTCAAGAAAACAATCTTGTCATTTAACATATTCTATTTGCATTTTGTTTGAACTTAAAATGTAATTAGACAAAGCACATTTTGAATCATGTATAATAATAATAATAATAATAATAATAATAATAATAATGTAAGTTACCTTCTTAATTCAAAAAGTGACAACCTTCCTCTAAAAAGGAAAGCCCCCAACCATTATGAGATTGACACCACTGCTGTAGTGAAAGAGACCAGAGAGGGAAACCAGAGAGGGAGACAGAGAGAGCTCAGAAGGGGAAACCCGAGAGGGGGACCAGAGAGGGGGACCAGAGAGGGAGACCAGAGAGGGAGACCAGAGAGGGAGACCAGAGAGGGAGACCAGAGAGGGAGACCAGAGAGGGAGACCAGGGAGGGAGACCAGCGAGGGAGACCAGCGAGGGAGACCAGAGAGGGAGACCAGAGAGGGAGACCAGAGAGGGAGACCAGAGAGGGAGACCAGAGAGGGAGACCAGAGAGGGAGGGAGACCAGCGAGGGAAACCAGCGAGAGGTATCCCAGCAGCTTTATCGAGTTTAAAATATCATACGAAAGATTGCATATTACTGTAACAGGTTGTGAAAAATTACATTCTCAAATTATAGGAATGACAGATCCGAGATCCGTTCCACAGCTTTCTCACAGCCCAAAATGAAACCATAAACAAACTCAATGTCCAAGAACACCTCCTAAAAAGAATGAATGAAATCTGCTTTATATCTGTACGTTGTATTGATTATATGGAGTGATAGAGTCGTAATGACATAAACAAGACCACATTACGAAACAAATGAGGCCAATTACAAGGCATGCAGGTAGCTGGCTCACCTCGATACGGTTTGATGAGAGAATATTCCCGTTTCAAGAATTCCTCCAGCTCGAAATCGTCCGCTAGCGATAGTCGACAGAGTAAAGACACGACTATGAGAAGAAAGGTGCATTTGCGAAGGGATTCCATGGCAGACGGCCCGGTTTGAGGCTGTAAACTTGTGATCTGATTCATCCGGTTCAGGGAGGCGGCCATCTTTACTCCAGAGTCGCGAGACAGACACGAGACTTCCGGTAGCACCGTTTCAAAATAAAACTGTTATGGGACTAAAAACGCAGCGTAAAACCTTAATACTGTTTACGTATGGACATTGCAGTGGTAGTAGAAGTATTTTTATTTGAGCAGTTTTACAATTTTACAGGCACAAAAACTTCAAGAAAGAAAGCTCAAAAGGAGAAGGCAGAAGCAAAAAGCTTAGGCAAGGCAAGGCAAGTTTATTTGTATAGCACAATTCATACACAAGGCAACTCAAAGTGCTGAACTAGATAGCATTAAAATCATAAATAATTACAGAACATTAAAACGAAAGATAAAAATATAAAACATTAAAACGAAAATATAAAAAGCTTATAGGTGCCTTCCCCATTATCAATACTTAACAGCAAACATATTTAAATTTAAACATTGCTAACCCGCAAGTGAAAAACTAGATGAAAAGAGCAAAGGGAGAAAGCTCAGAGAAGGACACTGCAGAGAGAGAGACAGAGAGAGCCCAGAGAGGGAAACCAGACAGCCATGACAGAGGGAGACAAGGGAAGATGACCAGAGAGAGAAACCAGAGAGAAACCAGAGGGAGAGAGAGAGAGAGCAAGGAGAGGGAAACCAGAGGCCAGAGGGAGACAAGAGATGGAGACCAGGGAGAGAGACCAAAAGGAGAGAAAGAGAGAGAGCTCATGGAGGGAAACCATGAGAGCCAGAAGGAAACAAGAGAGGGAGACCAGAGAGATAGAACATAGTGGGAATCCAGAGAGAAAGAAAAGAGAGAGGCCAGAGAGAGAGAGAAAGAAAGCTCAGAGAGGGAAACCAGAGAACCCGAGGCCAGAGGGAGACAAGAGAGAGAGAGACCAGAGAGAGACACGAGGGAGAGACCAGAGGGAGAAACATGAAATAAAGACAAGAGAGAGGCCAGAAGGAAAGAACCGGGAAAAATAAGTTCTTTTCCATAGCTTAATTTCTTGTGGTTTGACAGCGGCTTTATCCAGTTTATAGGCTCATGGAAGTTCTTGTGACGAAGTTTAGCTCAGGCTCTGTCTTTATTGACTAACATTGAAAAGTAAAACGCTCGAGCACTCACCATTTCTCTTCATCTCACCGTATGGCTCGGTAGGTGGTGATAGCTTTGTTTGAGTGGTTCCTTACTGATGCAGGAGGGTCTAAAGACATATTTTAGTGGTAGGGGAAGCCTACCACTACCGGAGGAAACCTACGCAGACACGGGGAGAACATGCAAAC